TATATATATATAGTCACAAGGGTCACTGGTCACAGTGTGAGAGACAGGGTACATACTGGACAAGTTGCAGTTCCATCACAGACAAACTAGAAAAATAACTTTTTTACTCTCTCACTTAGACTTAGGGTGATTTAGAGTAACCAGTTAACCTAACAGTCATGTTTTTGGTCTGTAGGAAGAAARTGGAGTGCCCGAAGAAAACCCACGTATTTATAGAGAGAACATGCAAACTCCAACCTAGCCAGTGTCCCTGGCAGGTGGGAAGTTTGACTGGGGCGGTACACCTGTCAAATGGAAATGCAGGTGTCTTTCCTGTTCCAGCAGCCTTCTTGCTGAGAGCAAACATCTCCACCAACTGAGCCACTGTGCTGCCCGATATACAACATTTTATATCTAAATTTATCCAATGATTTACTGTAGAAGCTCATGTGAGTGCTATTTTATAAAACAAAAATATCCTTTAATTTATTCTTATCACWAAAAGTAGGGCAATATGTGTTTGGTAGACAATTTTCATGGTGTAACAATGCTTCTTGGCAATAAATCTTCTATCAGGTACCTGACTGTTAGCATCTGGGGGCACCAAAAACTCAAAATAAGTGCCACTAGCAACAATAAAATAAGTTGTTTGGCAAAGACAAAGAAGACGACCCAAGCTTGAGATGAAGAGCTACCCATCCCACCCAGGGGAACAAGGAGATGAGTGAGAATATTATATAATATATTATATAAAAAGGCAAAGTAAAGGTGCTTTATTATTATATTACTTCACCTCCTTCAGTCGTGCTGTGGTAAGTCCCTAAACATGTTCTGATATTCCAGTTAGGCATGCCCCAGGCTGCAGCATAAATGGTACAAGTTGCTGCTGCACTATTTTAGCATGCACAACCCACTAGAAAAAACATGTGATGTAAAATTTACAGATTTTAAAATATATATAGATTTGTGAAGTAGTGTTTGCATAAACCACTGTGACCTCTTTGTAACAAGATTTGTTTTAACATGGCAGTGATTCACTTTGGTCTTGGCCCCACTCAGACTAGCTTATCAATTAGTGATATTTGCTCTTGACCTTCACACAGATCTCTACTTAAAACAATCTGAACTATCACTTTAATGATGAAGCAACAGCTTTTAATATGCAAACAAAAAACCCAGTCTGTTTCTAATAGCAAAAACATTGTAAGGAATGATTTTCCTTCATAGCAAAAGCCYAAGGGGATAAATTAGTCATATATTTTCTCTGGGCATTGATGTAGATGATTAATGAGTAGAAGCCACAGGAGTTTCAATCTAACTGCCCATTGTACAAGTTCACATTTTGAGAAATTAATTAAAATGTAACAATATATGATTAAAGTTCACTAAACCTCAGTATACTGCTTAGTCATGGCCATTATTCTTAAAATCAATGAGCCCAGGATTTACTCTCTATTCAGCAGTAACTTAATTTTTAAGCACATGTACTGTATGCCTTTGGGTATGTGGGGTAAAGCGAAACACAGATTTACATTAGGTTTGAGAATGTGGTCTCTTTATATATATATATATATATACTGTATATATTTAGTGAATATGTCAGTCGTCTTTTATGAGA